CCTTTAGTGAATGCAAACCAACAAGATATCAATACTATTGACAGGCTTTAAAGAACGTGTGGCATCTGGCAAACAACCACTCTTGTATAATTGGCTGCACAGTGAAGTACACAGTGAGACATGTATGTATGGACACACATGACATGTATATAATATGATAAAGTATAACCACTAGCAATAAGACATACATGTCAAAATCCATCAAGCTGTGTATGCTTCTTCGGCCCGAAATGAAAAATGTAACTTGATGACTTGATTTTGCTTGAGCGTAGCAATAAGGCCAATTATCCGTACAGCTTCACACTCACAGCTACATCACTCACTGGCTGTGGTTGCTAATATGTTCCTAACTGGGAAACTAAACGCGTCAAATGAGCACTGACTGTCGGATACACTGGTGGGAATCAGAGATCAACAAGCTGCAGTATTTCTGATTGGGGTCAGCATTCTTCAGGCAGATACAGTAAGGGAAAAATGAAATAAAAGTTCCACTCCGGTGCATTGAGTATTGTAAGAGGACCTCATGAAATGAATGAATCACTCCCTGGCCACTGCATTTTAGAAAACACATTTGCAAAGCATGTTGAGATTTGCTGAATTTGCAAAAACACTTCTGCTGTGGATAGGGTTTCACTAGGACTGTAATAAAGGTGATTGCGGCAATATGCTTATTTGTTATGTTATTTCAAGCGAGGCTCTTCCAAACATTACTCTCATTAACATCACTTCCAGACCAAGATTTCTCAAAATAATGTAGTGGTGGGATTTAAACAAGAGGGTCTACAGTCATGAGAGCACTTCTTAATAGGGCACAGCAGTGCATTGAGCAATGTAATAATACTAATAATAATACATTTTATTTGTAAAGCACCTTTCATTCTTAAAAGTAATCCCAAAGTGCTACAAGGGGCATAATATACTTTTTATTTTTAATGGTGTTGTGACATTTCACTAAATAATAATAATGTCCACCTCATAGTGCTATTAGAGCTTAAGTCAAAGGATAACTAAATGCTGTGGACTTCATCCCTATGAACACACATAAAATGTAATAAGTTGCTGTGGACTTCAACCTTTTGTGGCCATGAATATCTGAACAAACCTTTTAAGAAAACTTACTAATACATTTTTCATACTTTTTTATCCAGACCAAAGTGGGAGACTGACCAACAAGGAAACATTTTAATGTTTAATATGTTTTAATTGTAATATAGAAGGCCTATGTACTTCATTTCTTTGGACAAAGAACATATCTGATGGTGGATGTTGAGACTAACAACCTTTTTACATTTTGATTTAGAAGACAAAACACTAGAGACGATTTTCTCTGCAAGAATAATTTATATATTTTAAATCAGATTTTACGTTGACAGGTCATGCATGTAAGTAAGACTATGTTTTTTAATGAACTGGTCTGATAGATAATGTAAAAAAAAATGGGCTACAAACAGGATTTTACACTGTGAATGTCAGCATGAAAACACAGACTCTCAGAATCTCTTGGATTGATGTCAGATTGTGTGTTGCAATACAATTAAATATGGTGATATTTGGTTTCAGCTTAAGTTCTATAAAGTATATACAGTATATTTCTATAATTCCCTTTCGATAGGCTTTTTGAAAAGTGAAGTGATTCCATTTACAAAGAATAAAAAAGGCATTTATTGTGTTTCTTAAAATGTGTCAATAAATAATTTTTGGATTTGACAAGCACAACACTAACCTAACTAGCTTACAGACAACATCAAAATCAAACCATCACAAAACTGGCCTGGGCTTGCCGATTGGTCAAAGTTATACAGTATGTTCAAGGTTCAAGGCTTTTATTAGTCATACGTACATCGCTACAGTGAAGTTATGACGATGAAAATCTTAGTTCACAGGCTTCACGAACAGTGCAACACAATAAAACTAAGTGTGTGTTTCACCAAAATGAAATTGGATTGGGGTTGAAAGCCTGCCAATTTATTTGGATTCTTGTCATGTGCAGCGACCCTGCTTCTTGGTACCACTCGTCTCAGCCCTGTGAGTTTGCCACTTTTTCATCCACCGCAAATGTACTTTGTCTGATCATTTGTTTTCCAATTATGTTCCTGTCCCTGCTAGCAGAACATTGTCAGCTTTGGTTATGTGAACCCACTCTTGGGTCTGTAACCAGGGGCAATGTTTGATGCTTCGAACATTTTCATACCCATTAAAAGATGAAGGCAGGGTGAATTATTATCCTGCAGAGTTGATTGGGTTTTGTAGGGTTGGTTCAGGTTCTTGGCTGCATGTGATGGTATGCAGCCACACACAAAGACACTTTAGTATCTTCCATAAAAACACTTAAACCTACATAAAGCATAGAAAAGTTATTGGATAAAATTATTTAAGTAGAAGTTCAATAAGAAGGGGATTGTTCATGAAGAAGGATGGCACTTCCTACTCTTTGCATTTAATTAGTATTTTGCACTAAGTAGTTCTCTCACATCTTTGTTCAATGTTTGACTAACGTTAGAAAGTAAATAAGAACTTCATAGTGCAAACAGTGCTCAGTAACACCTTCATGGTAACTGCAATAAATGTCCGCCCTCATGACTGCACTGCAATTTAGATAGAAAGATGCTGAAGTGAACCTCAAGAGAAGATTACACCCACGGAGCAGGTGAATACAACAGATGAGCTAACAATGACAGCAATATTGAATGGTACTCAGAGAGGCAGAGCAGAGGACAAAATAGCAGGAAAAGAAAGCAACATAATCAATGTTTGGCTACAGCTGTGGCATTAGTCGTGATAAACGAGGTAGCCGACAGAAAATCTGGAAGTCGGCGCAGGACATTCCAATGATCAAGCTTTAAATAATCGGACACAATGGATTCTGGGAAGGAGAGGCAATTTGCTGCCATGGATCCAAGAAGAGAAGTGTCAATTCACATATTGACCTTTAAAATGTTATAAATGGATGGTCTTAAGTTCACAGCAAGATGGGAAGTCGCTGGTAGGTACTGTGAAATTACACTGTGGTGCATTTCCTCCACTGACAGCAGGTAGTATTTATCTGGGGTCAGGTTTCACGTCAGACAGGCAGTAGTTTTAAAATGGAAAGGGCAGTCAAACAAATGCTGATCGATGAAAGACTGAAAGGCGGTGGAAAGGTTCTGAGCAGCAACATTTGTCACTGTACATATACAGCATATTTCTATCCTCAGCTTTTCTTCTTGGGGTAATGGACAGATGACAGTTAAAGCATCCATGGCTGAAAGCGAAATATAAAGACATACAAATGTCCCACACATGCAAACAAACAACCTATCAGAGATCAAACTATTGAGCACTCAGGTATTGCACTCGTGTCTGTCAGGCAGCCTTTTTCTGACAGGGTAAGAGCAAAATCTGTCAACTAACTGTGACTTTGAAAAACAAGACTAAAGAGTCTTTGAGGTGGCATTCTGATGGATATTGTTCCCTCTTTTTTTGGCCTTGATGCACAGCTCAATGTTTGTATTGCTCTTAAGCTTTCATGGTCCCGAGAGCTTACTGGCACTTCATAAATGTTTCAGAGGTTTAAAGAAAAACTAAAAGGGCCAAGTATTCCGTCAGTTTGAAAATAAATAAACCATCAAAAGCCTGCAGCTGCTGTTAAATAGGAACTTATATAAATATTGGCTTTAATGAGGCTGCTACAGCCAAGCTTGGTTGTTTGCAATTTTTCTCTTCATTTGAGAATAGTTAAAAGACAAGAAGGACGGTAAAATGACTCCTAGGATATTTTGAGCCGAGTAGTTCCAGTTATAAATGATTGACAGATAAAGGCTGAAGTGCACAACATATATGTATGCTTACTGTAGCTTACCACACAGACTGAAAAAGGAATAAACAGCTAGCCTGACTTGGTCTAAAGGGAACTTAAACTCCCTACCAGCAAATCTAAAGCATACTAAGTAACTTCTTACGTCTTGTCTCTTTGTAAAATCAATGTGCAAACAAGTTTAGTTTTGGTTGAACTAAAAAAAACAACTGATGGCTCCTGGAACATATCAACCTTACAGGCATTTGGTAAGTGGAATCAACTTTTAAAAAAGTACAGTAAAACAGAAGGATAAGCAAATCATTTAATATATTTAACAAAATAATTTTAAAGCCTTGATTTTTAAAAAGTGAGTTGATTTGGAAAATCCAAGTTTGTGTCCATAACACCAATCCTTTGCAGTGTGTCTTCCACATAGTGATGGTAAGTCACATAGTGCATAATATTCTCAATTCTTAACATTATTATTTTAAACTAAGCCATGGCACAGGGAACAACATGTAGAATAGCGAACACTGATGCATGAACCTTTTTGATCAGACACAAGAGGTACAGATAAAATAATTTGTACAGCATTGGATTCTCTTCAATCTCAGGAGGTACAACCTTTAAACTCTTTGATAACTATTGGAAGGCATTTCGGTGACAATTAAAACTAAATATATATATATATACTATATATATATATATTTAGTTTTAATTGTATATATACATTCCACCCTCCAGGCCTATAAGATCAAACCCTGCAGCATCTTATCTCTCTTGCTCTCAACTTTCTTGCTGTCTCCATTCAGGAGGTAAAACTTTTTTTTTCTTTGAAATGGAAAACTACTGCTCAAGGCTTTTGAAGTGCACTCAAGATTAATTTGAACTGGAACAAGAAATTCTATTGCTGTAGGCGGCAGTTTGTGACATAGAGCAGTTTTTCCCTGACAATAAATATTCATATATTTTCCTTACAGACACCTTAGAGGGACACATTTCAACGTTTAATAACAGAGTTTGGTGACGCTGTTGTTTGCTGCTTGTGTGCAGTTGGACAATGATGCGATTGACTCTTAATAAATATAACATAATCATTTCAAATTTGTTCTAGCTTGTTTGGAATATAATATATTGACACCATTTCCAAGTGTAAATCTGTCCCACTGGCGTGGATTGGTTGTGTGTTGTGTGCTGCTGGTGTCCATGTGTAGGTGCCACTTACCTTGTACAATGAGGTAGACCTGTGAGGTCTTGGGCTGCTGCTTCGTCTGTATGGAGCAGGTGTACGACCCCTCATCATACACATCCACCTATACACAATGACAAATACAATATTGTTTTCATTAGTTTGAAAATATCTTATCATATGCCTGGCAGAACATCTTATCTTCATTTATCTTCCTACATGTTACTTTGTCAAGATCCTACTCTATAACTTTCATTTTGACAAACATTCACAATATTCTCCAAATAAATATTTATGATTCTTCAGTGAAAAAACGTTATACAGGAAAGTAGTCGAATTATCTCAATCAACTTTACAATATAATATGTTTTGATTATTATTAATTAATTCAACTTTAAGAAGTCAAAGCTTATAGACATGAGTTGATCTGACTTGAAATGGTGAGATCAATGAATGTAATGTTCATCATTACATAACAGATACGATCAGCATTTCAGCAGACCTCCCTGCATGGACAGTTTAGATAAGGTACTTAACCCTTTATGAAAACATGTATTATTTTTAGTTAGACTTGCTGAACTGATAATCAATGACAACGATAACTTTAACATTCTGGGAGGATAATCTCATTTACTGTCTAGCAGAGGGTGCATATACTGATACCAGTCTAACATTAGTCCATTTTCAAATGATTATTTATTGTTGTTAAAGCACAAAAAAGGGTTAAAATGAATAGATAAACATACAAAAAACAGTTATGCTTATGAAGGTTATGTTTAATAATTTTTAAATGTAATCCTAAGGAGGAGAAACAAATGGTTCTTTCCCATCTTTAAATGCAGCTGTTATTCAATCTAACGATGAAATCAAAGAATAAACAAAAAAGGTCCGGTTTCTAGGTCAGTGTTACCTTCTGTATGCGCAGGCTGTACTCGAGCTGTCCTTTAGTCACCAGATCTACTCTGGGGTCCAGAGACCACTTGTCCTGGCCGGCATAGATGATGTTGGATCGATTGAGCCAGGCCACTTTGGACACTTTGTCATCCACATAACACCTGCAGGAACAAGAAGAACAAGTAGTGTAAGAAAAGGCCGGGTTTACTTAAAAAAAGAAAGAAAATGACGTGACATCCTTCATTTCATAATATGTAAACTCAAAATCAAAGAGGATGTAGATTTTTGTAGGAACTTATCTGCATCACAGTTCAGCTATGTTGTGGTTTAAACTGCTGAGGGTATTCCCTCAGTTAAGGTTAGTTAAGGTTTACAGACAACTTGGCGCACCTCTCATTCAGAGGTCTCGAAACAAGAGCTATGTCTTAACCCGTGTCTCTCTTCCTTCTTTCTCTCTCTGATAAATACATCTCCTTTAACAGTCAGCATAGGAAGGACACCCGTATGCTGTTGTTTACTCCTTGTTGCAGACAGTCAGAACATTACTCCAAGAAAAGCCAGGGTAGCCGGGCGTATGCCTAATGAATAAATGTAAATGTGAGAAGACGTCGGAATCAATGAGAAGGGATATCAGCCGTAATGCTAGCCGACAGTGGAATTCGCCTCACATGCAAATTCTGGTGACTCCGGTAGACCAGGCTGTGCACATGGCTGTGGAGTGTGTTGGGCTACAATGGAGCAGATTTGGGAGGCAGCGGAGTGAGGCTGTCTTTGGCAGGTGACCCCGGGTGATGCACACAAGTGGTGGTGCAGTCACCCCTGCCTGTTACCCAGTGGGAGCTGGATGTCATATTTGTTGAAGGCTTGTACTCGCAGCTTGAATCCCTGTTGATGTTCCTTCCCCTTTGTGTGGAGCCCAGATAACTCACTGTATTTATTGACTCGCTTTGACATCTACACTCTACTTTCTTCCCTCAGAAGTGAACAGCTTTAAAGGGAATTCCCTTTTGTTTCAGATATCTTCAAAGCTTTAATTAAAATACTTTATAGTTATATGCATCCTAATCTTATGCAGACACATTTTCCTATATTGATGGAGAGCTAGTCTTTATGAACAACAATAAAAGAACTATAAAAGTTTGGACTCCAATGGAAACATCGGAAATACTAAAATGGAGCCTGACTCACATTTTTTAAATCCATATACAGTATTTCATTAAAAAAGTTCTTAGATTCAACCTCTGCAAATCACCCATGAAGGGTAGGCCCCTTTGGTGTAATTCAGAATGTGTCCTTGTATTCAAATCAAAACATCTCTGCTTTTAAAGAAACAAACAACATATTTTTACCACAATTGAAAATGAGTACAAATATACACAGTGACCTGAAGGAGAGCGGAACTTTGCCAGGCTTCCATTTGTTAATATTTATTTTGGATTCAACACCATGTCATCCTCGCCAACAAACTGGTCACTCAAACACACTGAAAACCAACACAAGCTCACTACAAGGGTGTTTTCCATTCCCTCCGCCTGTTCATGCTCTACAGTGACTGTGAAAGCATCCATCCAAACTGCCAACTCATTAAATGTGCTGACTACACAGCGCTCCTCTCAGGCTCTGAGCAGGAACACGGTTCTTCTCTATGATTTTAACGTTAAGTGGTGCAACAATACAATGCTGGATTTGAATTTCACTCAGAGGTGGTTGGTGGTTGATTTCAGGATGCAGTCCAGACAAGGAGTTGGATGGTGTGAATATCTTGGAATCATCTTTGAAATTTGAGCAAAACACAGAAGCCTTATCAAGAAAGCAAACCTGTGTCAACATGCTTTCAAGAACTGAATTTAGGGCTGTGCGATTATGGCAAAAATCATAATCACGATTATTTTGGTCAATAATTGATATCACGATTATTAAATACGATTATTCATTGACTTTGAAAACATCCATTTATTGAACTTTAAAACAAATACAAATAATAATTTGAACAGTATATTTTTAACTGTTGATTACCCTGAACGTATAATTCAACTGAAAAACCAATACAAAAATGATTAAATAAATGATAAATATATATTTACATTTAAATAAATAATATCAAAATAATAAATACCAATAAACAAGATCAACAAATATTTTGGAGCGCACTTCCACAAGCTACTAAACATATATAAATATGATAAATACAAATAAATTAGACAAAAATAAATTAGATCAAATATGTTGCAGTGCAGTCACAACCTAGCAAAGCAAAATAATTGTTTTTTTCGATTATGTTGTTTTCGTAATTGTGGCAGGCCAAAATAGTAATTGCGATTAAAATACGATTAATTGCACAGCCCTAACTGAATTCCAAAAACCCTTCTACAGTTCTTCATCGAGTAAATTCCGTGTTTCTCGTTCACATGTTGGTTGCCATCCCTCACTGTCATAACCAGAAACCGTCTCCATACCACAATTAACACCTGTTCCCAAAAAATCACTGGAGTGCACATTACGAAGCCGAGCCTCATTACTAGCTGCCACTGCGTGTGCCTGGCATGTTTTAATTGTGTGAGACTATGTGTGTCATCACAGCGTTCATTTGGCTCTCTGCTGAAAGATGCCGTCACCTCAACAGCGCGACAACTGTGCATCCATCATAACGTTTATGTCAATAAGAGTAGTTTTCATATATAGCTGCTATGAGAGCTACAAGAGTGTATGAGAGCTTCCGGTTTTGGGCATGCTGGCTGTGCATCACTCTCATTCACCAATGGTAATGTTTAGATGGATGTAGGAACTCCCTCTCGATTCTATTGGCTCTAACGGTTCAAAAGAGGTGTCAATCACCAAAATCAACCGATGGGTTCCAGAGATATGGCAAATACACCCAAATGACCCCAGAGGTGGGTTTTCTTTTCTAGACCTCTCTAAAAAGGTCACATGTCACTTGTCTTGCATCAATCTTGATACAGGGTACTTATTATATGTTATAGTTTGGAAACTTAAAGCTTTTTGTCTCCGATCCCATCATTCAAGGGTAGTTTTCACTATAAGTAATGACGGAAACTATGATTTACGTTTTTTTTACAATGTTCAATCTGAATTTACTTTAAAATAAAAACATCTATATTGATTCTGACTTTTTGACATCCAACTGACAGGTTTATCATTGCTTTGAGAAAAAAGATTATTAATTTACCCCTTTTAGAAGTGAAGATATAGTAATTTGTTCTGGGCATGTCATTTTTGAGCCTGAGACCTGAAAAACAGGCTTGGGGCTTAACAGGTTAACAGCTTGTTGTTACCAAACCTGAATCCTGATCTTGTAAGCACGAATACAACTGTCTACTGCACACAATATGTGTCATGTGTAACAAACAACTTATCCCTTCAATGTAATAATAGTTCACATATGACAACCTATAATCGATAGATTAAGTTTGTGATTTTCTTTTAGCAACTATCTCACCCCGTCTGATCTCATAGAGCATTTCCTCCATAAATAATTACTGATCCTAAAGCTTTTAAAGTCTAGACTAAGACAACACATTATCTACACAGCGCTGCCCTCTTTGAATTAAGGTATAGAGGTGAGGCAAGATAGTTTGATATTACTGCAGCTTTAATTGAATGCCTTTTAATCGTTCTCGCTATTATGAAGCTGATCCTACAATCTTAACATTACAAGGTTCATGTATAGAGTCGTTTCGTACAAAAAACACGTTCCATTTAAAAATGCTTTTCCTTGGACCCACAAAGAAAACACTCTTAATTTCTGTATAAGACTATGGTAATGTGATTAACATGTACGCAACTTTATCATTACTTCATGAAACTACATTCTGCATTTCACACTGTTAAAAAAAAATACCCACCCTCACAATTTATTTTAACAAACTTATGGTCCTCTTGGAGCAGATAACTGCCCATGTCGCTGTTTAATGTCAATACATTGTTAGGCAAACTATTTATATCTCCAGCCTTTTATCCTTTCACACCAGCAAATGCAGTACTAGATCTTCTCATTGAATTCTTTTAAAAGTCCCTAGGGTGTGCTCTGAGCGGTAAGACTACTTTGTCTTTTCATGCTCCCTGGGCATGAACTGAGTTGCAAAATACCATTACCTTAAGAGCACTGCCTTCTTTAAATACCTCTAAACTTTTACAAAATGCCTTAAAGGAAACATGTTGCTGTTTTATACCTGGCCTGTATGTCCTTCCTTCTGTACTATTCCCTTGTTTTGCTTTAATTTAATGTAAGTGTTATACAATGTGAAACTGCTTGTGCTGCCATCCTGAACGTGACTCCCTGGAAGACTATACTGCAACTCTCTGGCTAAAGAATGGATCAATAAAATACTTTTGATTGATGTGGAGGAAAAAACTTTTCTTGGGAGTTTTTTTATTCTTGAAAGAGAACCTGACACTACCAGGACATTGAAACATGTCCTAAAAGCTGTTGATTTCTGCTATATGAAGGGCAAACAGCCTGACTAGTTTGTGATTGTTACAAACACAATTTAGTTATGCCTGTAAGTTACTCAGCAAATGTTAATATATTCATCATGCTACAAATATATGTTAAAACGAGAAAAGAAAGTGTGAGGTTGAGGTACTGTCCTGTGGCAGCTGATTAATGGACACACATCAATTTCCAGGTCACGAAAAGAGGAGTACATGTATAGTGAAATAAAAAAGATGGAGCAGGATGCATCCAATTATAACCTTTGTTTAAATGAGACAAGCAGTTACAATTATGTATTGCTCTCAAACTGTGAGTGTGACTCCTCCATAGAACTGTTGCAAGCTCTTGGATAAATACAGGTGACTGGGACTATTAATCATCCAAATGTCCCTAATTGTATTACCTCCTTTCAGTTAGTGGTCACCATATGCTGCTCCATATGGGTCAAAGAAATAGATAAATAAGTACACAACACATGGTGCTGTACATGCCACCACCACCCTCCTCCACATCAATCACAGCCGTGTTCTGATGCTTCACACGCTCGTCTCCCGTTGCTTTACTGTATGTCTTTCCATCTCATCTCTTCACACCTCTGCCTCACCACTTCTCATCTTTCTCATGCTATCCTAGTTTTCTCACCCCATCTGCCTCTCTTCCTGTGGACAGCATGAAATAAAAATGAAAGGATATATTCCTTGATCTGCA